TGAAAGCAATGATGGTACATATCCTGTATTCCTCATAAAAATATAGTATGAGGAATTAGTAAATACTAAACACTTCAGATACTTCAGCTATAACAAATTTAGTATAGGAGAAAAATAAATTGAATATAAAATAGACTTCACTTGAGGTAGTTTTGCCCAGCACCTCAAATTTCTAGAAAGCCAAAACCTCAACTTGAAAACTCATGTTCTTAAATAGTCTCATCAGATCGAGACTTTCATATGGACACCATATATAGAACCAAACCTGTTCAGAAATATCTAACCTGTCAGCTGTATACAACAGCTTTCTATGATCAATGCTGAAAAAAGGCTTTGAGCGTGTAAAGCCTGAAGGACTTAGAAAAGATCATCCTTCTTTGAACATTGTTGACTGGTGCTAAAGAATCACAAAAAAAAACTGTATTAAATAATAGAAACCACATCATTTGAAGACATTCAACAGCAGCAACAACTAAAATGGATAGCTCATGTAACACAAAGGGAAAATAATGGCATAATCAAGATGTTGACATTCCACAATACTTCAAATAGAAAGTTCAGAAGTAATCACCAATCAGTATCCATCAATGCTGGAAAGAGCGATAAAAACTTGAGAAATCCGTTCTCCTAAAAAAGTGTTTTAAGAGAAAAATTTTATAAATTTCAACCGAAATCAGTACTGGTTGTTTGGTCAAAGAATGTCAAATGTTTCCTTATAAGGAAATGACTGCTATAACCATTGACATTCCCATAAGCTACAGACGGCAAAGATCATAATTGTCCTAGATATCTCTAGATTAAGACAAGCTTCAAGCAAGAATAAAAAATCTACAATTTAGCTGAATGATATAATTTTCTTTTTATTGGTTTAAACACTTCACATTTCCAGGACTCAACTGCACCTGAGGATTCATATTTTCATTGTTTATATGTTATGTTCTAAAAGGACATCAACGATCATGTCTCTTGTAGAATTTCCTCTTTTCTTAACACACTGACTTATGTTTTACCAATAGTGCATTCAGTTTAATTAAAACCTTTAACACCCTAATTTCTTTCTAGCATTGTTCCCCCACCCTGCCACTACACTGTTTTTTTGAGGATGCAAAAACATAAACACCTACTGTTTTAAAATTGTTATAACTTTCTTTATATTGTGTGTATAGATTTTATTTTTTGGTCTTTCTTTCACCTGACTATCATATTTATTTATTTCATTGACAAATAAGGTTATTATTTCATTGTTTATAAATAGACAAAATAATTCACCTTCAGAGGCTATCAGGTATATTGATGGTTGCTAGTAGCTTCCATAAGTCAGCCATGGATGATAGTAGCTGCTAGTAGTCATCAACGTTTTCCTCCACATAGTGATTGATGTATGGTTATCAACTTTGACCACTTCACTGTCAATATCCACTTCAGTAAAGCCTTCAAAATCATCATCGAAGTCCAAATCAAAGAAAAACTCCTGAATAAAGGCATCATTGGATGTTGATGCAGCCATTTTTGTTGACAAAAACTCATGAAAAAATTAACATTTAATTGATGTTACACCTTGTGCAGTGTAGAAGAATTCAAAATGGTGTCGGAAAACAGAACTTTAGCCTTGTTCCAAAGCAGTAGAAGGCTATTTACAGCTTAAAATACAGGAAATAAGTGTTTATTTATGGCAACCATCTCAAGGTGACTAAATGCACCTAGAGCAGCAAAGGGAGAGAATTCTACAGCAACAATTTTCAATCGATAAATTGTCATTTAAATTACACAAAAAAGAAAATAACACTGACATCTCATTTTAACAGATGTATTTAGCAAAATTGCACAAAAATATCTTGAAATACTAAATTCATTAAACAAAATTGCCATTGCCTTCAACCACGTCCTTCAAATGACTTCGGCAACTCTTGCATCACTTCTAGACGGTCTCTTTGTTTAATTTGGTGAATGCTGCCATAATACTTACCTTCAATTAATCTTTGGTGCTACAGGTGTTTTGTTGATCTCTCACTCAACTGTGCCCCACACATAATAATCAAGGGTTTGCAGTCTGGGGAGTTAGGTGGCCAGATGTAAGGGGTGATATGGCTGCAAAAATTGTCTGAAAGCCATGATTGAATTCTCCTGCTTGTGTGGCATGGGATAGAGTCCTTTTGCCAGACATAGGGTCTTCTAGCAGTCACCCTCTTGACCCAGGGAAGCACTACCTCCTCAGGGCACTTGATGTCTATGTTGAGTCTGAGGCTCTTTTGGAAGATGAATAGAGGCATAATGTCACCATCATTAGTGATCACTCCAATCACCTTCATAATCACCATTAGACTCATCCAACACTTTCAGAATCCTCAAATTGATACCCAAACACTCTGAAATGTTTATATTGGAATTTCTGGTGCAAATGCCAAGCAGTACAGCATACTGTTTCCAAATTTCTGGTGGAGTGAATTGTGTTATGGTGCTCTTTTTCTCACAGATGGTGCCCAACTGACCCTACTATACTGTGCAGTTGACAAAACCAAAAACAAACAATGTGCATATGCATGAAATTAAAACTGTGAAATGGTGATAATTTGCCCATCAAACCCTGTATATGTTTCCTTGGAACTCTTATGTTTTTGTAAGACTTCCTCATTGCTCACATATTCTGTCCATGTTATTCCTAGCATTCATCAGTAGAACCACATCTTTGTTGCATCATCACTTCTTCATTTGTGAGTAAACTGTCCAGCATTCACTAACATATAGAATTAAATTAGGTTAAAGATGGCTAGATTTATATTGCATCATCTATCTTTAGTTGTGTGAATATTATTCATTATTTTGGGTAGGACTTCTATAAAGTAACTGTTCAAGGTTTGTGCAAGAAGAAAGGAAAAAGAGAACAAAACAAAAAGTGAGAAATCAGAACAGGTGAAATATGATTTCTTTTAACACCAGTAATCCATTTCATGGGGAACCTGAGTTTTTACTCCTTCCCTTAGTCCTTGGTATGATGATAAACTACATCTGGCAGCAAGGCCTCTGATCAGGAGATTGGAGGTTTTGATGAGCCTGGGACCACCTCTTAATTTCAGGTCGTAGCACCTTTTAGGGTTTCAGTTATGGACAAATAGTGAACTCCTAAACAAAATCAAAATGCTAATAAAGCATAAAAATACATTTTTTATCATAAAAATACCAGCAATACATTTTTATATAAAAAAATTACCAACAATACATTTTTATAGCAAAATAACCAACAATGTATTTTTATAGCAAAATGACAATCAATACATTTTATCATAAAATTGAAAACATAGCATGCATTATCAAAAATAAGAAAAATTATTGCTATTATTAATCTCATTTCTTGTAAGAAGAATTAAATTTTCATTCCTCATAAGATTGTTATATGAAAAAAGAATGTAACTAAGTAATTATAATTTAATCATGAAATGATGTTATTCTCTTGAATTAATTATAAAGTTTGAATTTTCATATTTAGGTTTCAGCATTATATAATGCATAGAGGTGCTGATATGCCACTAAATAAAATCAACCAAAACAATCCTTATTCTCTGATGAGACACTGAAATGCACGAGTCCTTGTGTCTGTCAGTCTCCTTATGTTGTTCTTAAGTAGTTACCTTGCTGCTAATCAAAAGTCCCTCTGTCCACCAACAAATTCATAGCTTTTATATATGTTTAGAATTTGCATAGTCATCTCTTGCTAGCTATATCAGACATGCCAGTCTGTGCATGCACCTTTTCCAAATTGCAAATGGTGGACTAATCATTAGAAATATCATGGCCTTTTTTATCCTAGTAGTTGAATATTTGTCACAGTAATACATGTTCCAAGTTCATTAGTTAAAAAAGACAGAGACCCATGCTTTCACCACTGTATCTTTGTGTATGTTTGCTTTAAATAGGAGTCTCAGGTTGATTGCATGTATAAGGATTTCTTTGTCATTCCTATTTTTCTTAAATCTTCCTCATGGAACCCATGTTCTGTCCATGGTATTCATGGCATCTATTGGTATGATCTCAATTCTCTGTTGCTTCAAGTTTCTCTTCATTTCTGAGATACTCTAGCATTCACTGACATGTAAGAGATCAATTCATGTTAACAAATAACAAATAAACTGCATCGTGAATCACTGAATTAATTAATGAATACATAACTGTAACATGGCAACATATGACAGACACTTGAGGAGAGTAAAAGGAAGAGAATAAAGTACTGCTTAAAACCATGATTTTGAATCTTAGTTTCTAAGGCAGCCAAACAATACATACTTGTAAGATAAGTATAACTCAATCTTGCACATTCACATGCTTATTATGCTAAACTAAACTTTGTAAATATCTAAGAGCCAGGATTAAAAACATTGATTTTTTATTATGTCAGGTCAGGCTTAGGCATACTAGTGGTAACATGTAACCCAGTGCAATCTGCCACATGTATGGGTGGTTGGCATCAAAACTAGTTCACCCACTTGCTTTTCTACCGGTAAGGATAGTGGCATATCACCTATACAGGACAAAAAATAAGACCTATCAAAGGATAGATGAGCTTCTTATCAGGGCCAATGACCAAGATAAATGTATACAAACATGTTTATAAAATAAGATATAGAAGCCTGAAAATTTTAAAGAAATTTGACAAATAGGAAACCATTTCATTGAAACTAGATTTGATTACGTGGATGAGAATTTGCCTATCAACTTTGAGGGTTGGTGCAATTTCCCGCCCTCCTCTTGAATTTTTCCATATCTGACTAAACTAACTTGTGTAAATGTCTATAATTCTGCTTATCATTCACATTATGATTTCTTTCAATTTTTCAGATAGTATTGAAATGCAATCCGCTCGCTTGTTGAATATTTCCATGAATGCCATCTTCTTCAAGCAGATTGATATTGAGCTGAGTGTCCAAATTCTACAGCGAATCATTCCACATGTATCCAACTTAACCACCCAACTGACGACTGGCAATGTCTTACCAATTCTTAACAATATGATTAATTCCCCTGAAGAGAGTCTAGTTCAAGCAGAACAAACCAAATTCAGTGCTAATCAGTAAGTTATTAAAAAAAAAAATTGGAAAAATATACAAATCTTTTTCAGGATTTCAGTATTTTAAATCAACCTTCATTGGTACTAGTCATTCACATCCCTTATCTAACACAGCAAGAGTACTGCATTGGGTGCTCCCAAAGTATAGCATCATACCAGACTTTATTTCACAAGTGATGTGTTGGTTCCAGTCCATGGGAATAACTGCTAAGAACGTCCCCAACCCACAGTCCATATTTTTGTTCTTTTTTGTTTTGAAGCCAAAACACTATAACCATTATTCCACACATTTCTTACTCTGTGAACTTTTTACCTTATTACTGTTGCTTTCCCTAGTTTTGATTTGCATATATATTGTTTGCTTATTATCAATTTGCCCTGTTCTTTTTCTTCCTTTTCTTATTGTTTATTGAGAACTTTGTCAATTCCACTTGTTGGCCATTTTGTCAATTACACTTGATGCTTTCTTTTGAAACAGAAAAAAAACATATCTCAGATCAACTTCAATACTGACTTGATTTAATACCATTTTCATATTGTAATGCATCTTTGGTTCTTCTGGTATTTGTAATTGTTGTGTCGGAAACCTACCACCCCTCTTGAAGATGAACTTGTCTGCGTCTGTGAACAAATACTTTAAATAGTGGCATGTCAGTTGACATGGGGGAAAGACAGATAGACAGAGAAGTTCTTAGCTGAGCTAGTTATTGACTACTCAGGCGATTTCTGTACCTTTTTACCAACCTACTAAAACCCTTTTTATTGTTACGTGTTATTTGGCGTTTGTTTCTACTAACCCCAAATCAACATCATAACAGTGGCGACGAGAGATTCGTTCATCACGCTGAGTGGAGATCTTGACTAAGTATTGAGAACTTCCCTCGACAAATAACATCTAGGTTTTACTTTATCAACAAGATTTTTAAGACAATATCCTGCAAAAAAGTTAACAGATATTGACTATGCAGCTGATGCAGCTATCACTGCAAACACCATTACCAATGTCATAGTAATCCTACATCATCTAGAAAATGCTGCCAATGATGTTGGACTCTATGTCAGTGCCTCTAAAACTGAATTCATAGGCTTCAACTAGCAAGGCACAATACAAACTGCCTCATGTGAATCAATAAAATGTATCAAATCTTTTACATACCTAGAAAGTTGGATAAATTCTACTGAAAAGGATGTGAAAATCCGCATAACTAGATCCTGAGCCATCTTGAAAAAATGGATGTAATCTGGGAATCTGATCTACCAGACAACCTCAAACAGAGATTTATTCCAAGCCACTGCAGAAGTGGTGTTAATATATGGTATCACTGCCTGGACATTAACAAAACCATAGAGTGTAAGCTTGATGGAACCTACACTTGGGAGCTGAGAGTTATATTCAGCATCTTTTGGAGACAACATCCAAGTAAACACACATCTATGGTCCCATCTCTGATATTTCTACAATCTTATGTAAATGTAGAATGTGCTTTACAGGACTCTGCTGGCAAGCAAAACAAGAACTTGTGAGTGATCTACTCTTCCGGATTCCTAATCACGGTGTAAGACAAGTTAGTCACCCAGCAATCACCTGCATTGACCAGCTATGTTTTGACCCAGAATACCAGCCTAATGACCTTCCGACCTTGATGCAAGACTGTGATGGTCAGTGTGATAGACTCATGAATGTCTGAGCTAATTTTGGTGCTTGCACCAACTTCATGACAATACGTCTAAGATAACTATTTTGAAATTTTGTAGATGAAGCATTTTCACTATTATTTTGCTTGTTTGTACTTACAATCATTTACAAAGATGATAGTATTCAATTATACTTGCTCAACTGGCATCACAGAAGAGTGTCTCATCAGTCTCATGTCTTAATATGTCTTCACTCTGTCTACCATTTTTTTCTTTCTGCCTCGCTGTCATTTTTTTTATTAATAAGTAAATTTATATTTAATATTCTTATAATAGCTCTATTCTGCCAATAATTGCAAAAATATACATTCCAGAGGAATGATAAATTGTCAAGATCCAGGGAATTTCCATAGGTCTACCATGTTTTTTTCTGTTATTTATTATTACTTATATGCAATCCTGGCTTACAGCCATATCAAATTGAAACATCAGTTTCAGCATGATCACTAAATTTAAGCAATGGCAGGCCTGGTCAGTACTAAGATGGGTGGCTGCTAGGGAATAACAGATGCTGTAAGCTTGGATGTGCAGGTGGTACAATGGATAATGTCTCAGAATTGTTAATCAAAGTACTGAGTTCCAATTCCTGTTGGGTTCATCATCTACATCATCATCCTGCTTTATCATCACCCCTTGACTTTTGTAATCGTAGGAGGGATCCAAATGCAGAAGCCACACTAAATCTTCTCCAGAATGGTCTATCAACGGCAGCCACCAGCAATTTTGGTATAGTTATACCTGTCCATTGTTTGACATTGTCCAACCAGTTTTTACATTGTCATCTTCTCCTATGACCACCTTCAATGGGGCTTTGCATGATGGTCTTGTACAGGCTGTTGTGCCTTGTAATGTGTCCAAACCCTATCATTTTCCTCTGCTTGACAGTGGCAAAAAGAGGTTTCTGGTGTCCCACAAAACTATCATTATATACTCTTACATGCAAATATCCTTAGGAATGGTATGACTTCACCTCTTCTCCTCCCGGTACATGGTGTTGTGATAAAAAACAAGAAGACTTCATAAAACTAGTAATCAAATAGTAAGAGGGAAAACGTTTCATCTTAAAAATTTCAAAATAAATGACTCGAGTATTAATAAGTAGTAAAACAAAGATGATGTCAAGACTAAAAAAGAAGTGGTTGCAGATTGATGACAGATTGTGTTCTGCATAATCATTGAGTCGGTTAAATAGGCTGTTCCAATAACTTGGACTAAGTTTAAATGTGAATTAAGTTTGTCTAATGATTTTTTTTTTCTTTTTGTAGCTGTCTATATTTCTGAGATGAGGTATTATGTACACTATTTACATTATTCGGACTATTGTCCTCATCTTTGTCGCCATATTTATTACATCGTTTCGGCCTTTGTACACTCCAGCCTTCTTCAGGTAGTTGGAATGTTGAACTGAACCCTTTATTTTGCTCACTGGTGTAGATTGTTCTAGTTCCACATGCCATGTTTTTAATGGATGTCTTTTTCTTTCAGATTTAACAACTTAAGTCTTTGGAAATTTCAACCATGAAAGATTAACAATCACATAATGTGTTAAAGTTATCAAAGTCTATTACAAAAATGGACGTTCAAATTTATAAATATACGGCCCAATGATTCTGCTGGTAACAAATGCACAACAAACAATGACCTTTTGTGGATGCTGTGGCTTTTCAGCAAACTTCCTTGGATTTTCATCAGCCCAAATGCAACGATTCTGCTTAATAATGAATTCACCAAGATGAAAATAGATTCATCATTAAAGAGGATTTTTGTGATAAATCTTCATCGGCTTGTCTTTGCTCATGCACCCAATTGATGAATGTATGGTGCTCCAAATGGTCAGCAGGTTTCAGTTCTTGTGTCAATTGAATTTTGTAAATGTGTAGAGGCAAATCTTTTGTCGATTTTTTATGTAACGTTGTTGTGGAAAGGTTCAATTCCTGCACACGATGACGAATAGAGGTGTCTGACCACATTCTCATGCACTGCAACAATGTTTCAGCTGAATGGCATAAACAAGCAAGCAATGGTGTTTCCACATCTGCCACTGACCAAGTTTGTTTGAATTTAGAAGCAATTTTTCCAATTGCACTCTCAGTTGCTCAATTATGTTGACCAAAAATATCACAAAGTGCACAAAATGCATTTCTGCTTGAACGTCCATTTTCGTAATAGGCTTTAATAACTTTAAAATGTTGTTTGATTGTTAATCTTTCCATGGCTAAAATTGCCAAAGACTTAAGTTGTTAAATCTGAAAGAAAAAGAAAAAAATCATTAGACGCTTAAACTTAATTCACATTTAAAATCGGTCCAAGTTATTGGAACAACCTTTATATAAAAGACAGCTTACACCCTATGAAGAATTGAATTTGAGTGTAACATTCCATAAAAGTTATTTTATTTTTTATTTCATACTGCTTCTTCTGGTGATCAAATGATGTATTGATTTAAAGGGTTATGATAAAATACTTTGAAGACATTATCATTAATTTTTGACTTGTATTTCATTTGTCCTATTTCTGTTGCTTTTTATAAAACTCTTAGACAATCATTGCATATTCATGAGTAAGCAGCATCAATGAAAAAGGAAGAATACACAAACCCCCACCGCTGAGATTTGAAGTTGCATCCATTATCCTCAATGATACTAAAAATGATATCAATCGTTACCTTTTGTTTTCTTAATTCCTGTTCTTTTAATGTTCTCTCTCCTTAATAATGCTTTTTGTTTGCTCATAATCTTTCTCAGTAACCCTTTGCACAGGACAAGATGTAGGCCTCAAGAAATTCCTGAGCTAATAGAATTTAGGAGCACCTTCATTATGTATGTTTGCCTTCAAGGAGTTCCATTGAATTTAAAAACCCAATTCCAACTAGAGATCCTTAAATTCTCTAAATTGTTTCAAATTAGTTCAAAGGAGTCGCATTAAATCAGAAAATAAACAAATCACCTCTGTTCATATATCTTTATCTTTTTTAGTTTTATATTGCAACCAATACTAGCCAGTATATAAATGTGGCATTGCCATTGCATCTTAATGACTTTATTGCCTTGTTTGGGGTGAAATTATTGAAGAAAAATATTCTTTCTTGTATTTAGTGTGTCTGGTCAGTGCCTAAACGGTCAAGGCCCTCCACATCTTCCTATCTTTTGTAACTCTAAACAATTTTTTGTCCCCTAACTATTCATTCCCAGTCCCAGTTCTGCTATTCCTTTACACAAAATTGTTAGATTTGCCAAAGAAAACTCAGCTGGCATCTCAGCTTCAGTCACTTTCCGACTGCCATAAGGTTACAACCCTGTGCCTTTTTTATAAATACTTTCATAGCAATTTTTCAGATAAGCTCTTTGCCATGGTACCAAGACATTTTTTAATTTAAGCACAATATTAGACTGGTGTTGAGATTTCATCAATTTACCATAAATTTTATGCTAACAGGTTTTTTTTCTTGCACTTCTTGCTTGTGGAACTCCCTTTCAACTCCATGCTTTCCAACCAACTTAAATCATCAAAAATCTAAATGCAATGTCAATTGCTATCTAATGTCCTGATGTATGTCTCTTCCCCTCTAGCAGTCTTAGAAAAAACTCTCTGTCCTTCTACATGTCTTTTCTTCTAGTGCATATGTGCAGCCATTTGTATGTCGAATCATACCCAAGAAATTCCCCCAAGTGATTTGACCATTGATTTACATTCATAACTACTTGATCTATTATTTCTGATAACCAAATTTCCCAAAGACTCTGCCAGTGAATGTGTCTTTATATAAACAAACCACATAGCCCTTTGACTTTGACTAAGTTTTTCTTTTGCAAAGTCTTTCTCTCTTAAACTATTCTGCCTAAGAAATCACATAAATTAGTCTTTATGTAAACAACTTAATCTCAAGAATTTTTAGAGATCAGTTTGGGGGTTTGTTTCTTCAAGAACCATTCATTCCATCTAATTTCTCAAAATTAACTTTCTTCATTAGTTCTTTTTTTACATTTAATTCTAATTATCATTAAAGAAAATCAAGCCTATGAGCCTCAATATGAGATTTTTCTCCCTGGTTTTATACCATAAGACCAGGCCTTTCTACATTTAATTTCATTCAAGCCTTGTTGGAGCACTACTCACCAGTTATGAATGCAATAGCACCCACTTCATCATATGACTAAGCAGTCTCATCAGAATATCTAAAAATAAATGAGGTTTGAAATGTTTCTACAGTTTCAACATTTGCTTTTAGTGAGCTTAGCTAGTGTTAACATTACAACTTGAAAATGTTTCTTACTTTTAGTAATTTACCAATCAAAAAATGATAGCAACATGTCAGAAATTTTGCAGTTGCATTGGTTAAATTTTCTGCATGAGTAATCTAGAATTTTTCTTTTTAACTCATTAAAAGTAAAAAAAAAAATATCCTTATCCCCCCTACTTACTAATTATTTTTGTCTATTGTTATAGCAACACTAGGTATGTTTTCTTCTTGGTATCAAGTAATACCTTCTTTGAAAAATGGAATTTCTCATTAATAAAGAGGAGGGACCATTGTGCATAATCAATAAATATATACTGTCACATTGTGTTTGATATTTAAGAAAAGACTGGATTATTTATACTATATACTTCATTCGGACTGTCGCTCTCATCTTTGTTGTCATATTCACAGAAAGTGACTTAACCAAAAGAGCTGCAAGTTCGATACCTGGCCAGAGCAGAGTTGAACAAAAACTTGTAGAGTTGAGTTACTAAAAGGAATTAACTGAAACTGAGATATCCAAAAAAGAAGCATGGCATGTGGAATTAGAACAATCTACCTTCATAGACTAAATAAAGGATTCAGTTCAAAATTCCAATGTATATTATCTGAAGAAAGTCAGAGCATAAAATGGCAGAAATGTTGTGAATATGGCAATAAAGATGAGGATAATTTTTTGAAACAATGTAAATAGTGTAAATAGTTACAATATCTCATCTTAGAAATATAGACAGATAAAGCTGGTTTCTTCTACACTCTTTTAAAACAAATTTTAAAGTAATTCTTACTGTTAATAAAAATTGAAGGAACTTTATCTCTTTTCTTGTTCCTATTTCTATCAATTTCTATTTTTTTTCTTTCTGATACTGCACAATTGAATACCAACCAACATACATCACTGTTAATTTTGCCAAATATTCAATACTGATTTCGTTATGGTTTCTCTACCCCAAGTCTTACCAAGAATCTTTTTTTTGTTGTTGTTTTTGTTCTTTTTCAAGGTGACACAACAATTACCCTTATTTTTATCCGTTTGGTTAACACTTGATCTTTCAATCAGATGACAGCACTGAATGATTCAGAAGAACGTCCACCATCAAAAAGCTAATTCATGTCTCATAGGAGCTAAAAATCAAATTCTTTGTTCTAGTTTTCACTACCATAAAGTTAACTATTATACAAAGTACCAATTTTGTTTTTTGTTTACATTTAACCTTTCTCATTTTAACTTTTTCAGATTACTAGAAATGGCTGATAGCATTTGTGAAAAAATGCATCTGGAAAAATCAGATTTGTCTGCCTCTTATTCTAATATGGATGTGGGAATTGTTCGAGCTACACCTCAAAAGTTCCAAGGCGCAACTTTTTTTATGAACATAGAAAAAAAGAATGGTTTCATGAAACAAACCATGGTTTGTAGAATCAGTTTGAAATTCACAAAGTAAAATATATATCTTCTAAATTAATGAAAATAATATTTTAAGTATCATTTTTTTTTTTTTTTTTTTTTTGTTATTGCTATCATACCATTTTGGTTGAACCATTCTACAGTGGGTAGCAATATGAAATGTAGGCTTCAGAACTGTGACACAAACACATCTCTCCTGCTAAGGGCAGACCAGAACTCTCCCCAATCATAAGCATGACGATTAGTATAGCCCAGCACCTGGATATAGCCCATTTCCGGTTTTGTTGCCACTTGATCCCTGAATCCATCCACTTCTTTACTTCCCATTACCCTTTGTTTAAAGTGGATGCTGGTCAGAAGATAGAACTTCAAAAGAACCCATTCATTGGTCTATCAAACAGAAACATTTCAAATCAAGATAAATTCACCTCTTCCCTTTCTTCACTTTCTATGTGGCTGTCCATAGTATCACATGGTAACAACAAAAGAAAAAATAAGAATGACTTCTGTTGTCAAAGAAATCATTACAATGATAATAACTCATTTTAGAATTACAGAACATAAAAAACTAAATTGTTTACTTGAAAATTCTTTATTGGAAAGAAAAACAAAATAGAATTTCTGAAACAACCTTTATATAAAAGACAGCTGAAGAAATGGAAATTTGATCACTTATAAAGGGTGTTCCAATAACTTAGATCGATTTTAAATGTGAATTAAGTTTAAGCATCTAATGATTTTTTCCTTTTCTTTCAGATTTAACAATTTAAATCTCTGGCAATTTCAATCATTTGATGGGTAATATGCTAGATTTGTGATAAAAGAAAACAACAAAATTTTAAATTCTCTTATTTATCTAGTTATTTGTAGACATCTTGGCATGGTGTAATGGTTAGCAAGCTTGTTTCAATAAAACAATTACAACTGAATAGTGATTTCAATCTTCACTGAGTTCCCCATACTTTTGACCTTCTGCTGCATCTAAGCTATGCTGAGAAAATCACTTTAGTTATTTTTTTGTTTCTATATTTTACATAAAAATTTCATAATTTCTGTTTGAATTTCTGACAGTAGGATTTATCATTATTTACATGTGGACCATTGTCTCCATCTTTGTTGGTATCACAATAGTTGTGCATCAGGTGTATGACAATTTGGGTGACTGGCTCAATTATTGCTCACTCCATTTTCATTGTGTCCAAGTACATACTGTCCAGACCAGGGATTGAACTCTCCGTTACTATGTCACCAAATTCATAAACCAGCACTTTAATCCAATGTGCTAATATCCTGTGTGAGAATTTTGAGTGGAGAACTTGGTGTCTTGAATCTAACCTGCCTGCAGTCGAGTGCTGCTATTGGATTTGACTGCACTCATTGAGGCATCGCTTTTTACTGCAACTGCTACTGTTGTTGAAGCTTTGCTGTCATGTCTCTTTATGACATTCAGATTCTCCTCAGTGTTCTTCTCTGTCCAGCATTTTTACTTCATTCCACAGTGATTGATGATTATGCTTTCCCCTCCATACATAAATAACCATTCCTGATTTCATTGTCTCACACCTAATTACAGCTTTTCAATGTTCTTCCAGCCTTACTTTGACAACAGCCTAGTGGATTAAAGTGTTGATTTATAAATTTGGTGACATAGTAATTGCAAGTTCAATCCCCAGGCCAGGCAGTGTGTACTTGAACTCAGTGTAAATAGGGTGAGCAATAACTGAGCAGTACTAAATTAGAATTACACACAGACAGTGGCTTGAGAACAATCCATTCCCATAGATTAAATAAAGGGTTCAGTTTGAAATACCATAAAGGTTATCCAGATTGATAATCATATGATGAAGGCTGGAGGGCACAACAATCAAAATGTTGTGATAACAAAAACAACAAAGATGGAGATAATAGTTTGCATGTAAATAAAGTAGATAAAAAGTTCCTAATTAACAATTCAAACAACCTTCCTTTTTCCTATGTTGATTTTTTGTTCCTTTCATTTGCCAGAAAGTGATTTCCAAAAGATTACCAATTCAAAATGAATATGACGGTGATGAAGTATCAATTTCGCTCCCAGAAACTCTTTTTGACAACCTGGACGAAAAGAAATCATTTGACATTTCTAGGATTACATTTATTTTATTCAAGCAAGACAAACTATTCATGGTAAGTTGTAGCTGTCATTTTTATTTCTCCTGATAACATTTATTTTTATCACTTATAAAGAACTTAAACAGAATGTTAACTTTTATAAATTATTTGTATATCAACTGAAGACTCTTGTAATTTTCTACAATTGAACACCAAAAGTGTTGTATCCTTAAAGAGGTTACAAACAGACAAAGGTGTTACTCAAGTGAAGGTACAGCAACACGTGCATAGTCAAAAGAAGATAGGTTTATTGTAAAAGAGAATACACTACTGAAAGACGGGGGATCAGGCAGCAGGCTGGTAATTCCCGAAGGAAGCCCCCAGGTATATACTGTGCTCACTATATATATCTACTGATATAGTTAATCCACATAAGCGATAGGGAGTGTGGGACATTTATTACAACAAAAAGAAAAAAATTTTTGTTTTTTTAATCATTTGACCCCAAGCAAGGCAATAAATGCACTAAGATGCCATGGGTTACTGAGAGTGAAAAGACTTTAATGAGGAGAAAGGACAATAAAAGAACAAGATTCACAAAAAAAAAAGATTGCAATAGATGTTACATTTAAATTTTAAGGAAGAGAATACAGCTTCCATGCTTCTCTTTATTATCTCAATATTTACTATCCGTCTGAAGTTATTATGCAAATCACATAATCCTCAATAACTCAAATTTGCTTTGAAAATTTTTTTCATTTTAGATGGCAAAACAAAGCTTGACTTAAAGTTTTGGTACTTTCAACATATTTTATTAAAGTTATTAGATTTAAAACTGCAGTCTGAAGGTTATTATGCAGATAAAACTAATTTTAGTTTAAGGCCCTTGAAATCTAATAAAAACTTCTTTTTTCCCCATTATATATATTGAAGCATGAGTAATGAAAAGGATCTAGCAAATGTTGAAAAACAGAAAATAACAAAGTTATTGACTGAGGAAATGTCTACATTAGAGATATCAAAAAAGCTCTGCAAGGATCATCCAATGATAAAGAAGGCTTGAAAATATAACTAAGCTGAGAATGAAAAGCAAAAGAAAAGGCTTTAAGAACTTATCTCCTCAAGGGTAATGTAAACTAAAATGAGTTATAATGAAACAACCACTTTTGAATAAGATTTATGTAATAAGGAGGATAGATAAGGATTGACCTTTGACTTGAAGGATTGTAGTAGTCAAAGAAGAATCCATGAAAGAGTCTGTTCCTTGGGGAAAAGCTACCTGAGTGGAACTTCCTCCTTGAAATATGGAGGAAATGTATGTGATTTGACTCTGTGGAAGTAGCATGGTGTGTCATAGTTGTAAAGATTTGAACTGATGATACTAAAGACTCATCTGAACATTTGTCATGGAAATAGCAAAAGATTAATGGCAATCTTGCAACATTGTGACTGTGAGGAAAGAGGATGCAGAGTGGAAAATAAGACTACATAAATGATTTTGAACTCTATCAAGGTTGGATTTTGAATATCACTATTTATTAAAATTCTGTGACAGCAAACAATTCATGCTATGATAAATTATTGTTTACTGATGGTGATTGTGTATTAGTAATATATTAGTAATATTTTTTACCTTAGAAATGTTGACACATTCCATCTGGATTTATACATAGTTATGAAAAAATTTTAATTATTCTTAGCAGCCAGGATGTGTGGGTGGTGCAATGGATAGGAAGCTCAGAATTAGAAAAAAGAGCAGAGTTCAAATTCCAACTATGCTTATTATATTCACTTACACACAAATACTCTTGGGAAAGGTATGAAATCATCTCCCCACCCAGCTATGGTTTAAATAGTAGGATGTTTATCTGAAAAAAAATTATTGCTATTCTTAAAAAATTATTAATATAATATTCACTAACAAAAAAAGATTCTTACAATCCAAAATATGTTTTGGTTTTAAATAACCCACAAAAGGTTGATAACCTGTAAAAAAAAATCAATCAATCTTAGTGGCCAGCTGTCTGGCTTTACACAAATGTTGTCTACCAATTGAGGTGATTGAAAGCAACAAAAAATATTGCTATTGAATTAACAAATTAATAGGATTACACACTGCAAAATGTGGGAAAAAGTTTCCGTGATTATTTGACTCTCCCCGCTTTACTAAGTTGAAAAGGTCTCTTCTTTATCTAATCATCTAATCATCCATGCACCCAAAAGTACACAGAAATCTAGATGCAAATCATACCATCATTCTTTTACAAATCCTTTCTAGTTACTGAATCCCAATATTAATGATTGTAGTGTTTTCTTCCTCCTCTTTTTTAAAACTTTAAGCTCTTCATGATTTTCCTCACACTTGTCAAATCTTGAAAACTTCAATTTCTTGTCAACTTTTCTTTCAGGCTATAGCAAAAGCAGCAAAAGGAAGCAAAAATACAAACAATTTTAGTTCCTTTGGTAGCAAAACTAGCAGCCATATCTTACAACGGATCAACAGTCAAGTGCTTGCTGCTACAGTCCCAGGAGTACACTTCACCAATTTAAAGGATCCTGTTACAATGAGATTCTTTCATCTCTCAAAGGTTTGTTTTACAGAGAAAAAAAAATTAATTCAGAATTAAAAATTTAGCTCAATTTGATTCATATTTCAAAAACATCACAATGACATGAATCACTTTAGTGATTAGCTACATCAATAATTAAATGTATAAGGTTTCTTATGGGAACATTTTATAGTACATGGAATAACGGTGGTGTAAAGTTTGTTCTTGTAACTTGAAATAAATTCAAATTGTAATAAACAATTGTTTTAGAGCGAATAAGAAATAAGTTTCTAATTCGGAATTCAAATGATCCATCCTGATAAGCTGCTAAAGTTCGACAAGAAACGCCTTTCTTAGATGCATGAACTAATCAGAACTACTCTTTTGTTAAACAAAAAAATTAAAATGCATAAAATAACTGACCAATTGATCTGCAATGCAAAGATAACATTTATTAAAACAAATAGCGCAATAGTTAATATACAAGTTTGTTATGCCACTATTAGTATATAAGTGTTATCTATTATTACTAGTTAGTATACAAGTTGTATATAATGTTACTAAGAGGCTGATCTGCTTTTGTTTTATTGGATTCATTTGACAAATATCTATGCATCATCATTAATTCCAAGGTTAGTGTTTATTTTTGCTCTTTTCTTTAAAAATGCAAAATGTATTTCTTATCATGTAGGTACATTAATATGTTCAGAGCATAATTATGAAAAAAGCATTTATTTTATGCAACAAATATTCAAATTTGGAGAAAACATTATTAATCACACAGTTCAGTGGTTCTCAACAAGGGTCCTTTTGAACCTGAGGGTCCATGGAACATTACTGGGGTCCACACAAAGAAATAGTAAATTGGGGGTTAATTACTCACATATTTTAAAATCATTTATTATGAGTTATTTTACTAATGTACATAAATGTTCCATAGAATTTAGTTGTTAAATACAAATTTATTTTCATTAAATTAATTTTACTACAAAATAAAGCATATACATTTACTATTTCTATAATAAAATTCTGAAATTTATTTATTAGTAAAAAATAAGCTTTTTTTTATGGTTATGGGGGTCCATCAAAAAAAATTAAAAGTAAAAGTGGCCCATGGGTTAAAAAAGGTTGAGAATTATTGACATAGATCAAGCATTATACAGAGAAAATTTCAGATCCAAATCCAACTAATAACTATCAAGGGTTAAAAATTTATTAATCCATGTTCATATGTCATTGACTGAGATATAATAAATTATCCTTTTGCATATCCATTGAAAATTAACTTATTTTTTATCAAAAAATCATTTAATTTGTTTTACTACTAATTATTTTATTATTGTCTTATTTTGGATATATTTTATGCAATTATGGATGTAGAGAAGGGAAAGAATATACAATAGTAACACCTCGTTATCTATGGTAGATGGGTTTCTATGTATGGTAAATCCCTGGATAATAGTAAACTATTTAGATTTAGTTCAAAACTTTCACCAGTGTTAGGGAAATGTTTACTTAAGTTTTAGTTGCTATCTGTGCGTCAGAATTACAAACATTTATCAAGAACAACAGCAACAACATAAATACATCTTTTAAATGAAACATGAAAAGAGTTAATTTCTGAAGGAAAAGTAGAAGCAGAACATCATTTGAAATAACATTTATATATTCTTTTCAGAAATATATAATAACAATAAAATGTTCAATTTTCCTTGCAGTGAAGTTTGTTTTGTAAAGTAATTAAGTGTTCTTAAAGTGATATGAAATGTGTGAACAGACTTACTTTATGACAATTTAATGCATTTGTGAGTTTGTAGACAAAGGCTTAGTAAGAGGTTGATGGTTATTCCTTCTATTGTGTGTATGGACAAAGCCTTAGTGGCTGCTGGCTGTCTCTCTTCTATTTTGTGCATTTGTACAAGTGCGTGTGTCTATACATACATGTAGATCAAACCTGTCTCTGTAATTGTTTTTGAACTGGAGAAGCAGTAGGCTTCTGTTTTTATATTCATAAGGGGATTCAACATCTAATTTCACATAGAGGTATGAACTTTTTAATACAAGGTTTTCATTGGTTAGAAAATAATAATTTCACACTGGCTCACAAAATCTTTTTCTTGAATTTGTGGGAGTGGTGAATTAGTTATTATTATTATTTTCTAAATGGTCCAAAAATAACATGTGGTAGTTCTACATCTGCATGTACAGTGGTGGAAATAAGTATAAGACACCCCATGAAATTGTTAATAATTTTCTTATTACCACACAAATTCCTCTGAAAATTTGTGTGTGGTGCCTAGATCTGATGGGTATTAGGATACATATTCAATTTTATAACAACTTTCCACCAAAAAAAGTTATTAAGAAAAATACTTTTTCGAGGGTGGAAATAAGCATAAGACAGTTTTGAAAATTTGTATTTAACAGCAAAATTATACAAAATTCAATATTTACATTTATTCCCTTTCAATTGTAATACTTCAACAAACCTTTTTTGCATTGAATCAATAAGTTTTCTGAGAGTTTCAGATGGAATTTCATTCCAATACTGTTTAATGCAAGATTTTAAAGTTTCTTTACCTTCAAATTGACATTTATTTTTGTATACTCTTGACAAAATTCCCCCAAATTTTTCTATTGGGTTTAAATCTGGAGACTTAGTGGGTCAGTCCAAAACTTCAATATTTTTTGTTTTAAACCAGTCTTTCGTGACCTTAGAATTGCGTATGGCTGCGTTGTTCTGTTGAAAAATGGTATTATTGGTGTCTAGATGATTCATAAATGAGACAAGACTTTGTTCAAACACATTGATATATCGAACAGAGTTTTGTTTCCCTTCCATCACTACTAAATCAGCCTTCTCAGATGCAGAAAAAGCTCCCCAAACCATAACAGATCCTCCTCCAAATTGTCTTTTTGAAAACAGCTGCTTCTCCTTTCTTAAATCAGACCAATAACACTGGTAGCCATCAGGCCCATCCAAATTAAACTTTATCTCATCAGAAAAAAACCATGGTTTCCCATTTTTCATTTGTCCATGTTACTTTTTTCTTTACCCAATCTATGCAGTTAAAGCAGGGGCTCTCTTCCTGTTTCGATACGCTAGACTTGGCGATTCATGGAGAAATTGGAGAAACTCTTTTTGGAGTGATGGGTAAATTCTGAGATTTTTGCAGATCTCTTGAGCTTGATTGTCCTTAAGAAGCTTCTCAAAAAAGTCAACGTCTGGCTGCATTTGTAATTTTAGGTGGACGACCTGAATGTTTTCTGGTGCCATACGATTCAGGGTCCTTTAGATAATTTCTCACAATTAATTAGGACCTAGACACTTCTCTTGCAATGAAACATAGATTTTCCTTCCAGTTTATAGGTATATATTGCCCTTTTTCATTTTCATTAAGGGGGAAGTTCCTAGACATTTTGCAGTAACTGTATTCAGTTATGAAATGTTTAAATGGAACTCACATGGCTTAAAATCATGATAAGAGTCTTTTTATAATCTGCACATGCACTTAATCTTCCTTTGGTATTCTAAAGTAAACCAGAAATGCAAATTTTCAAAACTGACTTATAATTATTTCCACCCTTGAAAATGAAATTTTGTTAATAACTTTTTTGGTGGAAAGTTATAAAATTGAATATGTATACTAATATCCATTGGATCTAGGCACCACATTCAAATTTTCAGAGGAATTTGTGTGGTAATAAGAATTAACAATTCTATGGGGTGTCTTATACTTATTTACACCACTGTATTTGTGTAGTATCTGCACTAGTAATGATTGTTTATCAAACAAACTTTTTGATGGAATTTTATTGGTTGAAAAATATATATGGGGTTTAAGTCCTATATCTGAAACTGAACAACCTATTTTAAAAACATGAATTTTAATGTTTCTTGTTCATGAAATATATTGCTGTTAGTTTAAACAGGTTTTCTGTTAATGTTTTCTACCTACAAATCTAAATGAGATAAAAAGATCAAATTAATAAAGTAGTATAATGTTTAGTTAGTAAACACTATTTCATAAGAATGAAAATAGTCCAAACATGTATCAAGCATAACATTTAATTGTAATTGCTCACAGTTAAATCTAATTGGCAGAAATGTTCAAGAAACAGAATTGACAAAGTTTCTAATAAACAATAACAAAAGGAGAAAAGAACAGGGCAAAAATAATATGGTGCAAACTTTATATATATATATATATATATATATATATATATATATATATATTATGAAATGGACTAAGTCTAACAATTATTTTAATATATTTTTTGTTTACACGTTATTTTTATAAATACAATTCAGGCCAGTAAATGTTGTTAATACAGTTTATTACAAACAGAGCATTTACTTAAATATATGTATCTATAACATAACATATAAAAAGAATATATATATATATATATATATATATATATATATATATATATATATATATATATCAAACAAAAGTAGAAAAGCAGCAGTAATAAGGCAAACAGTTCACAAACTAAAAATGGTGTTAACACACAAAAGGGATACAGAAAAGTGATTGTAATATTCTGACTTCAAGACAAGAAAATATGGTGGATGAGACTAAGAAGTGATCTTATTGGCTAGGAAGAAATCCCAGCATGCATCTGTATGATTTGTCTATAAATTTGGAGAGGGGGATGTTTTTTCAATCGTTCTCCCTAGAATTGGAACCAACAATTGTAGTGAGAAACAATACAAAATATACAAAGCTTTCACCTTTTGTGAATGTTCTCTTAAGTGTAGAACAATGAAAGATCTACTTTCATAAATCTGACATGTGGTATCAGAAAAAAGAAACAGATGTATGCATGTTGTCTGTTCACTTCATGGAGTCAAGATGAGGCCAAGAGCCCCACATCACCCACTAAGGCAATAGGGTGACAGGCCTTGATTGGATGGTCCAGCGACCAATCCAGATCTCCCACACATGTAAGGTTCAGCATAGCCCCCAAACACTACTGCTGTGTGTTTTCTGACCAGTGTGTGAGTATGTGTTAAAGTATATGTGTGTGCATGATATATATATATATAATATATATGATAACTCACTACATTAGTCATCTGATGACTCCAACATTAAAGAGCTTTAAGGACATCTAAATTGATTCATTTTTTTTTTTAGTTTTCAAAATATTATTAAATACTTATGTCTACATCATTCTTTATTTTTGCCTATATTTTACTCATCTGAAATATATTTTGTAATGTAGTTTTAATGTAATAAAAGTTTTGAACATTAACTGATTGAGTCAATCAGAAATAAGTAAAACTAAGATTGACAATTCTATGAATAGTGATGTTCATCTCTGTTGATTTATAATTTCTATTTGCAATTGTTTTTTCTTTTCCAGAATGCAACAAACCCACAATGTGTATTTTGGCAAGACTCACCATCAACAGTTCCTCACTGGTCAACTGAAGGCTGTAGTGTCCTTTATAATGTTCCTGGAAAGCTAACAGTTTGTGAGTGCATCCATCTCACTAACTTTGCATTGTTAATGGTAAGCTTTCATCTTTCTTCAGCTTAAATTGCTTGCCTGAGTCATGAGACCAAGTTATTTGGTGAGACCTTTTAACAGGTTTTCTCCAGATATCTCAAGAATTTCCTTATAAGGTCACAAATACTGTTATAATATCAAAATCCTCATTAATATCATACAGAAAATGTTCTCTCTATGAAAAATGCATGGGTCACCATCACTAAAAGGCCATATTTGAAATGTGATGACATCATAATTAGTTTGCTTTCTATTGGTTCTCATACCTTTTAATATAAAGTAGAATTAAATATCAGGGAATGAAAGTTTTCAATTCTCCAGATTTTAGATTCAGAAATTGCTACAAATATTCTTGAAAACTTGTTCTACACTTTGGTAAATTTGTATAAAAAAGAACCAAGAAAAATTATAGAAGAAAAACAGATTACTACAAAAATGTTTAGTGTCCAAAATTAGAAAATAAAATGATAAATACACATCTAAATATACAGATCGTGACATCTATCAGAGAGATGAAATTTAAATTTTTATTATTGCATTATTCCAAAGTTTAAACACATCAGCAGATAGCTATTAATGTCAAAAACTGAGCACAAATAGTTATTAATTAAAAAATCAGTAATTAATGTATAATATAATCCATAACATGTACAAGAATGTCATTTTTGATAAAAATTAAAAAAATAACCATAAATACATAAAAAAATGTGTATATTGTTGAAAATTCCTTTTTCCACAATATGGCTATTTGTGCTATTTTATAATGTTTATTACCTTTATGGTTATCTAGACTGATCCCAACGTCTTCGGAACCGCTAGAAGATACGGTAATAGCGTCGTTACAAGCAGAAAATGAATTGGTTGAAGTAATGTATAACACAGTAAAAGAATTACCGGTGACATTAGATGAAATAAAATTAAAAGCAGAAAATGACATTTTTATTAGAAAAATGAGAGAAGTTGTAACTCAGGAAAGTATAAAACTTCTTCACCAGCATATTCAATATGTGATGAAGTGCTGTTATATGCTGGAAGGGTCGTGATACTGGTTGTACTACAAAAGCGGATTTTGAAGGAATTTCATTAGGGGCATCCTGGTATTGGACGTATGAAAGCCCTGATGAGGAGTTACATTTATTGGCCAAATATGGACAAAGACATTGAACAGGTAGTTAAAACTTGTAGAGGGTGTCAAATGGCAGCGAAAGCACCGCCAGTAAAATACACACCATGGCCAAAAACAGATGTTCCATGGACCAGACTCCACATAGATTATGCTGGACCCATGAATGGTAATTTCTACTTGATAGCTGTGGATAGCTATTCCAAGTGCAAAAGACCAACTGCTTCTGTAACAAAAGATTTTCTTACAGAACTGTTTGCACGTTTTGGAGTACCAGAAAAAATTGTCACCGACAATGGAACTCAATTCACAGGAAGTGAATTTAAGATGTTTTGTAAGACTCTGGGAATTGACCACATCACGACTTCACTGTACCATCCTAGGTCAAATGGACAGGCTGAACGGTTTGTTGATACGTTCAAGAGAGCCAAATGGTACTAATACAGATGATGGTAATATACAGCAGTTTTTAAGTATATACAGAATAACACCAAATCCAAATGCAATATCAGAGATGTCTCCAGCTGAACTGATGTTTGCTAGAAAAATTAGATCTGTGTTCAATAGGCTGCTGCCGGAAAGAAAAAAGAGTTACCAGAACAAAACGCATCAGGAAAATATGAAATATCTCAGGCCGGGAGATAAAGTTTTTTTTTTTAAATTACAAAAATGGAAAGGAATTTTGGCAAGATGGAGTGGTAACTCAAAGAATTGGTAAGATATTATACATGATAAGAAGTAAAAAATGGACGCACAAAAGACATTTGAACCAATTAAGGAAAAGAATCATTGAAGAAATAAGTAAAGAAAATGAAGAACCAATGGAGGTATTATATGATTTATTTGATATACCAACTCCACCATTGCCTGAAAACAGTTGTCCAAAGAAGGACAAGCAAAAGAAAAGAACTAGGGTGGAACGTTTAAGTCCAGATCCCAAAGAAAGATATTAATTCCTCCGAATTAATCTCAAAGGGAGGTGTTGTGTCAGAAACCTACCACCCCTCTTGAAGATGAACTTGTCTGCGTCTGTGAACAAATACTTTAAATAGTGGCATGTCAGTTGACATGGGGGAAAGACAGATAGACAGAGAAGTTCTTAGCTGAGCTAGTTATTGACTACTCAGGCAATTTCTGTACCTTTTTACCAACCTATTAAAATCCTTTTTATTGTTACGTGTTATTTGGCGTTTGTTTCTACTAACCCCAAATCAACATCATAACATCTAATTCCACATGCCATGCCTTTGGGTATTTCAGTTTCAGTTAATTCCCCTTGATAACTCAACTCTCCAAGTTTTTGTTCCTTTTACTGTTGTCAGGTATTGAACTCCCAACTCTTTGGGTCAAGTCACTTTTAGGATCACTCAACCAATGCTTTTATCCACTGGGTCATGCAAGTGAATTTTTGGGCCTTATAAACATAATGTCTCAGTTACCACTTTTTTTACCAGAGCTCATATTACAATTTGTTGTTGTTGTTGTTTTTTTCTCTAGCTCTTTGTATTACTGGTTCCTGTGTTGCATTCAGGATGTTTTATAAAACAAAAGATGGTTCAGTGCATAAAAACGTTTGTTGACCAAAGAGTTGTGAGTTCAATATTTGGCCATAAGAGAGAACAAAAATTTGGAGAATTGAAGGGGGGGGGAGAAGTAACTGAAATTGAGATAGCCAAAGGCATAGCGCTTTACTGTCACATTCATGTTTTGGTTGTTGTATGCTTTGGCCTTTTTTCAGGTGATATTTATTGGAATGGCCTAGTGGATAAAAGTGTTGCTTGATTGATCCAAAAAGTGACTTGGCCCAAAGAGTTGTGAGTTCAATCCCTGGCATCAGCAGAAAGAACAAAAACTTGGAGAATTATCTAAGCGAATTAACTAAAACTGAGATATCCAAAGGTATGGTACACAGAATTAGAACAACTTACCCCCATAGACTAAATAATGTGTTTGGTTTGAAATTTCAACTAATATCACCTGAAGAAGGCCGGAGTGTACAATGGCTGAAACAAATATTTATATTATCTTGTTGAAAGGAAAATAAAAAAATGGCAGACAGCATTTTTTTCTTTTTTGCAAATTTAAAGAAACAAAACTGTCAATTGTAGCAAATCTTAATTTCTTTAAGCCTAAAATGAAGAATGTCTTTACAATATTTAAAATTATATACTTTTTTTCTTCTTCTAGGATATTTACAATAGCGGAGATCCAGTGGACCCAAAGCATAGTAAAGCTTTGTCTATGCTTTCATTTATTGGGTGTGGTATCTCATTTGTTGCCCTTCTCATCACTATAGTCACTTACCTGGGATTCAGGTTAGTAATTCATTATTTTTCCTATAATTCTGAAATGTGAAACACCTCGGCCATATTTGAATAAACAGCCACAAGTCATTAGAAATTGTTAGTGAAGATAAAACAAGACCAGCTTCAAAACAAATATGTTTCTTTCAAATGCAGCAACATGGTCTCATCAATTTACAGTTGAATTGGCTACATGTAACCTATAATTAAATACTGGACTTAAATTTTTTTTTTTAAGAAACATAAAATAAAAATCCAGTATTAATTATTAAGAGGCACAGTAGAGTAATGGATTTCAGCTCGGATTATGGAATTGGAAAGCCAAGTTCAAATTCCAGTCAAGCTCATTACATTATCTTATGTGCAAATACAGTTGGGAAAGGTATGAATCCAGCTACTCTCCCCACTGTTATGGATAAATAGTAAGACAGACTGAGTTCTATAACCTTAGGTGGCAACTATGAGTTAAACTTTATTTGTAGATAATAATGGTTTAGTAATACATGGGAGATAAGGTATTGTGGCTTGGATTGAAAAATTGGAGAGCTGAGTTCAAATTCCAGGTGAGTTCATTACATTCACTTATGTGATAATACCCTTGGAAAAGGCATGAATCTAACTATTCTACACCCCCCCAGCTATGGGTAAATAGTAAGACAGGGTTCTATAGACTTGAGTGGCTATAGAACCAATTCTCACACAGAAAAAGAAAAATTAAAATTTTTTATAGCATATGACCTGGATGTTCTTTCACATGTAGCATATTACTTAAATGCTTTTACACATGTAGCATATTACTTAGATATATTACTTCAAGACTATCACTTATTTAACTCTATGCAGCTAGTCTGGTCAGTGATCATATCAAGTTTAAGATATTAAAAAAACATTCCTCAAAGACTTAAAAATGCAATCATTCTTTTGTGTTGGAATATACCATTTATCTGAAAGTGGGTGTAAAGACATATGTTGATGGCTCAGTTAATGATCTTATTAATTTTATTGAAAAATTCTAGAAACTTTTGCATCAAGCTCATAAATCTATGGTTGATTTTAGAAAATAATTTTTTCTTTTTATAGGAAACTTCGATCTGGTGCTGTCTCTCATATACTAATCAGTTTGTGTATGGCCCTGGCAGCATCAAATCTGATTTTTGTGGTGGGAATGCAACCTTATACACTATCTGAAATTGTGGCATGTAAGGTAAGTCAAGAATTGTTAACTTCAAGCACAAATGCAAAACAGGGTATACCAATGTTTTATAGATTATACAAAAGTGTTTGACCAGGTACGTCGCAAAGAACTGTTGGAAGTGTAAGTTTGGCATATTTGATAAGGATAATAAAATAATACAGAGCTTACTCTTTGAGAAAACCACCTGCGTACAGATAGTAAATGAATTCAGTAAATATGCAAAAACAGAAAGGGGTGTAAGTCAAGAATGTGTCTTCTCACATTCTTCTTCTTTGGATTTACTCAATATTTCCAGTGAAGCAATGCAAAGAAAACTAGAAGTCCTACCAGGATTTATCATTGCTGGACAAAATAACATCAGATATGCAGATGGCATAGGATGTTGACAGCAGATAAAAACAAAACTACAGAAACTCCTACAGAAGGCAGTAAAAGAAAGCAAGAAGAAAAGACTAATCATCAACTGTAAGAAGACAGAAGGTCAAGCTGTCAGCAAAAGAAATAGTCCAAAATATGAATTACAAATTGGAGATACCAAAACTAAACAAGTAAAAACATTTAAATATGTATAAAGTGTTTTAACAGAAGACAAAAAATGCAATACTGAAATCCAAAGGTGCATTGGGATAGCATAAGATTCCTTCCAAAAGCTAAGCAAAGTATTAAGAAAGAGGAAAATTTCATTAGAAACAAAGAAAAGAGTTCTGAACTGTCATGTAATATCAGTCCTCTTATATGGCAGTGAATGCTGGACAATCTCCTCAGTCAGTTATGTGCCATGCGTGATACACACTTAGGCGATCATGTATCTTTCAATACATGACGGATGAGACATATTTTTTTCCCACAGTAGGTTGCCATTTCTTTCTGTGGTAGACCAGTTCCCATCCAAGGCTATAAAACCTGGTCTGTCCTGCTATTTACCCATAGCTGGGGAGAGAAGAAAAGGATTCATACCTTTCCCAAGCACGTAAGTGAATATAATGGATTCGACTGGAATTCGAACTCAGCTCTCCAATTCCTCAATCCAAGCTGCTATCTATTACTCCACCGTACCTCTCCTAAGGAGGCATGGTGGAGTAATGGATAGTGGTTCGAATTCCAGTCATGCTAATACCCTTGGAAAAGGTATGAATCCTCCTCTTCTCTCTTCAGCTATGGGTAAATAGCAGGACAGTACAGGTTCTATAGCCTTGGATGGCAACTGGTCTGCTGCAGAAAGAAATGGCAACCTTCTGTGGGAAAAAAATCGTCTTCGTCAGTCAAGTATCGAAAGATACATGATTGCCTAAGTGTGTATCATGCATGACACATAACTAATACTCTCCTCACAGATGAATAAATGAAAGTGTAGTGATGTGTGACCCAAATGCTAAGCATCTCCGTTGTTTGATCTGTTTGGTCATGGTCACCATTTGTAATTCCGTCATGGCTCATGTGTGGGACAAAGACTTTAAAAACTGTTGGGGATTTGCATGCACAAGTATGTAACTGATATAAATGAAGAGTATGATTTTTAGGGGGCTGTTGAACAGTGCAGTTTGACATGTGCTGGAATTTATAGATATTGGACGTACAATTCTTGATTGCGACATTTCTTCTTTTGAAGTTGAGATACTACTTCAAATTATCTACAGAACGACTTGATGCAATGGAAATGTGGTTCTACAGAAGGATGCTGAGAATACAATAGACTGAACATGTGAGCAATGACAAAGATTTTAGAAAAAATGGAAACAAAAAGGACTCTTATGCATAGCAACAGAGAGAGAAAGTTAAAATTTCTAGGGCACATATTGAGGAAAGAGGGCTTAAAAAATTTAACACTCACAGGACATATTGAAGGCAAGGGAGGCAGTGGAAAGCAATGAATAACCTACCTAATGTGCTTGTGTAAAATGGTTGGCAGAATAGGGATTAGGAGATATAGTGAAAAGGCAAAATTTACTAAGAGCTACAAAGGACAGGAAGTTGTGGAGAGCCATGATCAAAACATATAAGAAGAAATAAACACTAGTTGATAATATTTATCACAGATATCCATCTACACAGAATATTTTGAATTTATTGAAAGTAGGTATTTGCATCCCTTCAGGATATTTACAAATTAATTTTTCATGAAATAATGGATTTTATTTATAATTTAATGTTTTTCTTATAACTACCACTGTTACTGGATTCTCCTGTCATCTTAAACGTATGAGGGTCAAGCAACTCAGTTCCTAGGAACCCACAGCCAGACAACATGCACATATGATTTGATTATAGTGATGAAGGCTTTGTGCAAAATCAAGCACACTTTTTTGAAGAGCCGGATACAGAAACCTGGTGCACCATGTGCCACAAGGCCCCCAAACGACCCTACACAGGGATTGAATTCAGAGTTGTCCTTCTCCTAGACCAGTTGCTATCCAAGGCTATAGAACCCAGACTGTTCTGCTATTTACCCATAGCTGGGGAGAGAAGAAGAGGATTCATACCTTCCTAAAGAGTATTAGCACATAAGTGAATGTAAGGGATTCAAGTAGAATTTGATCTCAGCTCTCTGATTCTTCAATCTGAGCCACTATCCATTACCCAACCATGCCTTCTATTTCTTACAGCTATAAACAATATATTTAATGAATGCTCACACTTGAGTAGATGACCCTGTGTGTTTTTTTTTTTTTTTAAACAGTGTAACTGTCATCTACTAGCCTGGGAAATTGAAAGTCTTATAAAAGAATGTGTATATTTTGGTATGAATCAGGCCCTGTACCACTCTTTTATTGGGGAATTCTCCTTCAAACTATGTGGGTTTTAACACTGCTCATCTACAAAAGACTTGAGTAAAGCAATGCTGAAATAGAAACAACAATGCAAACAAATTGTAACTTATGGCAATCCATAACATCATTCCAGAACTGGTCCTGCATTGTATGCTGGCATACCCTATATTAACATTTCTAAAAAAAAAAAAAAAAAGACCATCACTTTCAAGAAGGCAGAACTTGATCTCCTAACTAAATTTATAAGTCAATTATTTGTCTTTGTTTTGAATATTGCTGCCACATCTAGTCTGGTGATCCTGCTATATATTTAGAGATCCTTGATAAAAATCCAAAGAAAAATCTGCAGTGTTATTGGTCATGACCTGGCATCTCAGCTTCAGTGACTTCTTCACTGCTGTAATGTAGCCTCCCTATGCCATTTCTATAAATACTGTCTTAGTAATTATTCTGATAAACTTTCCTCTATGGTATCTAGACTTTAAAAATTTAAGCACAGTACTAGATTGGCAGTAAGGTCTCTTTATTTTACAGTTGAAATGGCTAGATGTAACCATAAGTTCTATGCTAACAGTTTTTTCTTGCTTGTAGAACTCTCTTTCAGCTTCTTGCTTCCCAGTCAACTTTGATCTTTGAGAATTTAAATTTAATGTTAATCATTATCATCTGTCTTCTTAATTGTTGTTCTTTTATTGTTCTCTCTCCTTAATAGTATATTTTTCTCATATTCTCTAACACTCAGTAACCCCTTGCATCGTAGTGGCTTTATTGCCTTGCTTGGGGTGATATGATTAAAAAAATACTACAGAATGATATTTGATTCTGCATATGACCCTCTCATGACACCAATAGAAAACTGCTTGGTGTTGTGGCATAAACAGAAGTTTGGCTAGAGGCATGTAGTTTTACTACAAGTAAATGATTCCCAATAGTCTGTGTTACCACTCCAAGAGCTATATTTGCTTTGATCTGTGCTTTGGGCACTGTACAGTCTGCCACTGCTTCTCTTACACTTTTCAAGATTAATTGATTGTTTTCTACATGATTGTGTCTACATGTTTTTCTAGAACTTATTTTGTGAGTGTAGAAATGTTCATTTGGCCACTGTTGCCAACATCAAAGCCTCATTGATGCACTATATCCAATGATAACATTCTCAATTTCCAAAAACCGATTCTATAAAGGCAGGTAATCTTTAGCAACCTATTCTTTTTATTTTATTTTCAATCTAAGAATGGAAACAAATCACTTTATCATATCAAAAAGAAGTAAACCATTTTGATAATTTAATAGAAAACATTTAATTAGTAAAATATTTCCAGAATGAAATTCTGTTTTCATCATATTTCTGTTCAGAAGTATGATGCCTTTTGATTCTAGTGTCATCAGCTGTATTATGGTTTCTTAACTACAATTGAACTAAATTGCTGCAGTCCCAAAGATCCAATGGAGGACATCAAGTTTATGACTAGAAGATTTGCCACATTTTAAACTTCAAAATGTTAGGAAGCATGTGTCTATTAGAGTTTCACTAGGTGCACATACAAGTGTAACATAACTAACATTTTACCTAGACCATCAGCTATTAATATATAAGATTATGTTCGGATAATACAACAACCGATTTGCTAAGCTTTTATAACTTTAAGAATCAGTTCACATGAACCAGTGATAACTGGTAGGATGACACCACTTACTATATCCAATATGCACAGCAATTCTCTGAAACAATTATCCAGCTTTTTAGAAGGCCTACAATATTCTATCCTCTCAAAACTGCTCTTATTGAACAAAAGGTGCACAAGGGCATCTCTATATCATAACACTTGCTTGCATCAGAATCTTTCACTACACTGAACTTGGAGCATGTATCACTGTCTAAATCTCAGATACAGATGGTGCACTGGTATGAATATTACTATGTCACAAAGTAACCAGTTATTTTGAAAATTTTATCAGAATATCTCCTCTCCTAAGCATGCACATAACTGTACCCTGATCAAAATCAGCACCACCCTTCAAGGTGGGGAAATTGTAATTTTTGTCAGGGTAGTTAGATCTAAATGAATTCAGCCTGATGATTTCTATGGTGTAATTAGTAATGCAGCTATCATATTAAGACAAGCTTCTCAAGAAAAACGAATGTGACTAATTGGAGGTTTAGTCTTTATTTCTGTTCTACATTTGATGGTCTGAGTGTTGGAATAAAAAAACAACTGAAATTAAGATGAAATAACTTTTAGTAAAAAAAATTATTAATACTAATTTTCATGTTTCAGTTTTTATTTTAATTTTTTAATATTTCTGTTGGAGAATTGACTGGCCAAAATGGCTGGAGTAGGGATTCAGAACAAATATATCCAATGATCAAAAAAGAATTTATTGATTATTGTCTCAAGATTATTCTCAAAAAGTACCATAAAATTTCTGCTTTCTTATAAATTTTCTTTTAAAGTTCACATAATTTCTTCACTTGATTGATAATATTTTCTTTTTATCCAGGTTGTAGCTGTTCTTCTTCACTATACACTCTTGGCATCCATGATGTGGATGGCCATTGAAGCTGTCCATATTTATTTGGCAATGGTTGTTGTCTTCAGAACTTACCTCTCTCACTTCATCATTCGATGTTCAGTCTTTGCCTGGGGTAAGTAAAAAGATGTTTTACTGCTCTAATTTAGACAAGACAACTATTCTCAGTTGTTTGCCTTCTAATTCATTTTAACTGCTGTATTATGATAGCATTGTTTCCTGGCTGTGCTGGACTAGTTTTTAAAAAAAGTAGGAAATTATGATTTACGGGAAATAAATAACTACAAAAACACTAACTGCAATTTCTCCTGGGTGCTGCCATTTTGGTTTTGATCAGATACTCTGCAGTACAGACTAAGCTAAATTGTGCCCCTAATATGCAATTACATCACAAAACAGGTTATATTGCATACTGCTATGTCAAGAATGGTTTGGAAATAGCACTGCTAGTTAGTTTATATCACAAATACTAGGGACAATCATTTTTTTAAACACTTCACTCCAAGTAAGACAATAAAGTCACTAAAATGCAAGGGGTTACTGAATGTTAGAGAATATGAGAAAAATATACTATTAAGGAGAGAAGACAATAAATGAACAAAAGTTAAGAAGACAGCAGATAACAATTGACATTGGATTTAAAGTTCTGAAGATCAAAGTTGATTGGAAAGTAAGAAGCCAGAAGAGAGTTCCACAAGCAAGAAGTGCAATAGGAGAAACTGCTTGCATAGAACTTATGGTTCATCTAGCCATTTCAAAAGTAAAATGATGAGACCTTATAGCCAATCAAGTATTGTGCTTAAATTCATAAAGTCTAGGAAATAGAGGAAAGTTCATCAGAACAATTACTATGAAAGTATTTATAGAAAAGGCTCAGGGAATCTACATTACAGTGGTGGGAAAGTGACTGAAGCTGAGATGCCAGGTCAGGAGCAATAACATTGCAGATTCTTCTTTAGATTTTATCAAGAATCTCTAAATCTAGAGAAGTAGCACCAAACCACATGTGGCAACAATATTCAAAGCAAGGAGGAATGGTAGATTTATAAATATACAAGATAGATTCTGGCGAGAAAAATTGTCTCGCTTGACACAATGAACCAACTTTCCTAGCTGCCAACTTAACAATTCATATCAGCAAAAAACGTTTTCACAGTCAGATGATGATAATAAGGTTGCAATGAATCTGTTAATAAGCCATGAGCTTTTCTGAAAACTGCTGTTAAGCTTTGAACAATTAATTATGAAAAGAGCAAATTCATGCTACCGTCAGTTGAAATTTTTTTCTTAAAACAATTTTTTCAGGAAAATAGGTTTCTCAAGTCCACTAGCTTTTATTGCTCTTTCCAGTATTGATGGAGGTTTTCTTCATAACTTTTTATTTGAAGTGCTATGGGATGTCAACATCTATGTCATTGTTTTCTCCTTGAGTTATATTTTAGTTGTTGCTGCTGTTAAAAATCCTCAGTTGATCTGCTTTCTTATATTTGGTACAGTTCATTGTCTAGTACAACAATGTTATTTTGGGGGGCATTAAAACTTTTTACTATTTCAGCTCTTTTTCCTAATATTCAGAACTTTATTTACAAAATCTGCTCGACTTGGAAGCATTATGATATACTGATCAACGACTGATTTTTTTTTGCAAAAACAATCTTTGGTATATGTGTGTTCCAACAAAGCAAACCATAATAATTTTAATGACTATTAGATTTTGTATGCAAGCTTTATTTATAATAAACTAATGCTCTCCTCAGGGAATATATGAGGAAGTCTCTTCCCTCAGGTGTAAATGTTTTTTCCTTAATTAAAGCTGACACATCATTAATCAATAAATCATGCAAACAATGAACTCTAGCATAGAATCAGTAATTAAGAATTGTCCTGTATTTGGAGTATGTCCAAAATTAAATCAATCTTTTTTTCTTTGTAAACTATAAAGGTCTGAACAGAGAAAGTGATTCTGAGTATCATTCAAATAAGCAATCAAAATCTAACAAAATAAAGAGGACAATTTTTTTAATCACTTCACTTCTAACAAGGTGATAAGGCCACTAAGACACATGTATTTACAGAGAAAGAAAGAAACTGAGAAAATGTTAGTGCGGAGAAAGAACAATAAAAAAAAACAGACTTCAAGGAGACAGAAGAATAATATTGCATTTAGATTTTTGAAGATCAAAGTTGACAGGAAAGCAAGAAGCCAGAAGAAATTTCCACAAGTGAGAAGTGCAATAGAAGAAATGATTAGCATAGATCTTACATTTAGCAATCTCAACAGTAAAATGATGAGACCTAGCTGCCAATCTAGTACTATGCTTAAAATCATGAAGTCGAGATACCAAAGAGGAAAGCTAAACAGAACAATTACCATAAAAGTATTTATAGAAAAAGCATGGAGAAGCTACATTATGGCAATGGAAATGTGACTGTTGTTGAGTTGTGAGGTGAGGACTGACAATATTGCAGATTCTTCTTTGGATTTGACTGACTTTTGATATTTCCATGAAATTATCTGATTTCAGTCAGTTAAGTGCCATTTAGGTGATCTTTTGATACATGACTGACGAGGCAGATTTTTTTTCCTATAGTAGGTTGCCATTTCTTTCTGCGATAAACCAGTTGTCATTCAAGGCTATAGAACTGGTCTGTCCTGCTACTTACCCATAGCTGGGGGGAGAAGAAGAGGATTCATACCTTTCCCAAGGGTATTAGTACATCAGAGTGTAATGTATTTGACTGAAATTCGAACATGGCTCTCCAATTCCTCAATCCAAGCTGTTATCTATTACTCCATTGTACCTCTCCTAAGGAGACATGGTGGAGTAATGGATAGCAGTTTGAATTCCAGTTGAATCCATTATATCCTCTTCTTCTCCCTCCAAATCAAGTTCTCTCAGTCACTGTGTGTTTATCTAAAGATAAATATGTTTAAATTCACCTTCATCCCTGCTGTGCGGCAACGACTTAGTGGTAGAATCCCAGACTGATGCCAATTCAGTCAGGTTTTGATCCTAGCTAGAGGCAACCGGACATCTAGCCACACTGATGAGCTGTAATACAGTGAAACAGTCTGTCTGTGGATGACAATATATATATATATATATATATATATAGTACCAAAAGAGAGAGAGTTTTTCAAATCTTGCACCATTTGTAATTATCATCAGGGAGTGGTAATCAAACAATACATTTGTTTCAGAAGACATGGTCAAATCCATCTCATCAAAGAACCATCATATTAATTTTGTTTAATAAATTCTACCTGTTTGATTGATTTGTTTTCTATGGGTTATCAACCCTTTGCAGGTTATTTAAAGCCAGAAAATATTGTTTTTAGATTCTAAGAATTTTTTTGCCAATAATAATGATCTACTGATACAATTCTTACTAATTAATCCATAGCTTGGAGGAGAAAAGGTAGATTCATACACCTTTCCAAAAAGTAAATTCACATAAGTGAATATAATAAACTCAACTGGAATTGGAACTCTCCCATTTACAATTCCAAGCTATTATCCATTATACCACTCACAAATCCATGTTTATAGCACCTGGTATTCTCAAGCAGTCACTCATCTTGGTACTGATGGTGCTTAACTTTGGTGATTAATTTTTCCTCTCCAATATCTTTTTTTGTATTTCTTTCATTATCAAAAATTACAAAAAATAGTATTGTATTGTATTGTAACTTTATATTGTCATTGTCAAATTAATATTTTTTTTTTTACTTTTAAGGTCTTCCACTTGGCATTGTTGTTTTAACTCTTGGAATTAACACTACAGAAAACTATACTCTCAAGGGGAAAATGTGAGTACAGAGACTCTACTTTATTTAATTTTATATATAAATATTATGTATGTTAATTATCATGTGACCTGGATTTTGAACACCAGTTTTCAAGGCAAGCATTACTAGATTGATTGACTCATTTTTTTATGGATTATCAACCTTTGCAGGTTATTTAAAGACAGAAAATATTTTTAGATCGTAACAATTTTTTTTGAGATGGGGAGATAATAACGGTTTAAGGATACACATCTAACTAATTAACCCATAGCTGGGGGGAGAAGAGGGGAATACTTTTCCCAATAGTATTTGCACATGAGTGACTATAATGAACCCAATGGAAATTGGAACTTGGCTCTACAATTCCAAGCCATTATTCATGACACCACCTGCACACCTAGCACCTGGTATTCCCAAGTGGTCACCCATCTATGTACTAACCAGTCTCGACATTGCTTAACTTCAGTGATCATACAGGAACTGGCCATTATACAGGGTTTCCCCACTTAGAAGAATGATATAACACAATCTTCATGTCCCTCAAATGCCTCCTCCTCTCACACTAAGATTAGTAAATAATAATATTTCTAAATCAAAAAAACTAAAATTTTAATATAAAGCATAGAAAGTGTAGAATATTAATACCTTAAGCCTTTTTTTTTTTTACAATGATGTTCACCCTGTATAAGGCACAAGAGCAACTCTAGGTAGAGGGTTACAGAGTAAAGTGATAATGCCACCAAGACACAAGGAGCTACCAGAAGTGAAAGAGAAGGAAAAGACTTTAAAAGGAACCAGAAACCCAATTCTAAATAGGAAACAAGGGATAAACCTCTACTCAGTGATATGCAGATGTTTGGGGTTGCCTGGGGCCAACTCCTTGATTCTATGCCCCTAAGACTCAAGTAACAGATTGGGGCTAGTACTGAAAAATGTGAGAAAGACAGACATTTTAGATATCTAAATAGATGAAACATGAAATAAACAATTTGTTCAAATTAAATATAAACTAAATTTTTATTTTATTCTTTGATTGGTTGCTCTCCTAAAATAAATGCCCAGGGCTGTCACACCCTCTGTCCCCCACCCACTTCTACTGCCTTTACTCCTTTTATTTTTTGTAATGACATACAAAAGCCAAGAATACAATAATGAAAAGTATCTAGTGATTAAATAGTATTGCTGCAAAGTGTGATGCCCACTGCCCTCTGGTCATCTAAGATGTGTAACACCCGCAGCTGGTGACTGAAGTAACTGCTTCAATCTTGACCTCACCCTATCCCACATTGTGATTTTTAGATCATAAAGCAGCCAAGATCGAATCACCATCAGGGTCTCGTACTAGACTGATCCAACAGGGTGAAGATTATTTTTTTTTTGTTTTTTTTAAGGGTTTCACCCCAAGCAAGGGATTACAGAAGATTTGGAGCAAGATCAGATAGGAGTGATAGAGGAAAGGATGAGGAGAAGGATAGTGAATAGATCAAGGCAACTGGAGATGTCGATTGACATTACATTTTAATAGCTGGAGATTATAGCTCTCAGGGAAACTCGAATAGGGAAGGCAGTTCCACAGGCGAGAGGTGCGAGACATGAAGCTATTGGAGTAGAAGAGACGGCTACATTTAGTAGTTTCGACAGTGAAAGGGTGAGAGCAGGATGCCAGCCTCGTAGGGCGCTTGAATTCATGAAGTCTGGGAACCAGCGAATGCAGCTTCTCAAAGCAATTACCATGAAAGTATTTCTAAAAAAGAAAGAGAGAGGCGACTGTGCATCTGTGGGAGAGCGACTGTAGACGAGATGTCAGAACAGGGCCAATTATATTGCATACCCGCCTCTGGATCTTATCAAGCACCCCGAGGCAAACAGAAAGGGCTCCAGACCATATATGGCAGAAATACTCCAGATGCATCAATTAAAACAACGCTCAGATAAAAACAAATAAATTTCAACTTATATCGGTTCTTTGTACAGCAGATGGTTTAAAGTTTAAGAGTTCTCATGCACCAATACTTGACCCAACCCATCCTAGTTGAAAGTGACACTTTGGTGATTTTGCCAAAGTTCATTTGGTTTGGTGAAGTTTGTTTTTCTCTCTTCATGTAGTTTGGCACAAGGCTGATGTTGGAGGTTCTTGTCGTCAGCAGGCAATTGCATGGATCTCTCAATGAGCTCTCTGTATGAACTCCATGTACAAACTTCCCTAGACACACTGTCTTCTCAGCTCGAAGCATTCGTATTTATGGCCAAGATGGGTGTCAGACTAGATACAGTTTAGGGTTTCAGTGATTCCCCTAATTGTTGTCTAGCTCCAAAAAATTAATTACATATCCAATTTTGGGGAGATCCCCTCTTCTGTGAGGAGTGGTTGCAGGATATCAATCCACCCAAACTCTTTCCTTCTTTTATTAGTCCCTCACACTATCACCTCCTGATGGGCATTAGTAACTTCTCCACCTTTCTCAATGTTTCATCTCCACCCGCCACTATGGTTAGCACTCAACTAATGGCTTCTCAGTTGCTTTGGCATGGCTTAACTTGTGTTCATTAATTAAAAGAAATTATCATCTAAAATTTTGCTTATGCCAAATTTTTCCATCCTGACACAAATTAGACATTCACCACATGGCCCTATTGATCAGCCATTCTCCGAACTTTATACTCAGATACAAAAATCTTTTATTCTCAATTACTGGTCTACAGATCATATCTTCGCCAGTCTGCTTATTCTGTATTTTCATGACCAGCACTTTTAAAAAAGCCTATCATCTATCAATTGTCAGAGATTGCCACATTGCCTATTCATAAAATTGCTGCTAATGTAATTCTTTGTTTCTTGGGAAAATTAGAGTTTTTGAAAAATAAAATCTTCTCAATGTGATTGGTATGTCTATCATTATATGCATTAACACTTCTTTTCATTTGCCAGCACTAAATAGTGTCACAAAGCTGGTATTAGTTACAACATTATACAAAGAACAAAATGAAGACAAAGTGTGAATTTCAAAAAGGGGAAATGTTGCATAATTTTGTTAAGCCTTTGGCAAGTATCTTAGCAAAAACCTTAATTATTGTTGTTTAGTGTTAAAAAAAACTAATTTTCATAATCTTCCTCTCTTTTTTTTTTCCTTTTCAGATGTTGGTTGTCACAGTCTGCTTTCTATGCATCATTCTTATTTCCCATTTCTGTTGTCCTTCTTTTCAATGTCTCCATCTTCTGCATCATCATTTGGCGCCTCCTGGCTATACAGAAGATCAAAAAACATGAACACAACAGGAAAAAGATTCGCCTCATTGGAATTATAGGTGTTTTCTTCTTGTTGGGTCTAACCTGGACAATGGCCTTCCTGGCAGTGGGTGAAGCAGGCATTATATTCAGTTACCTCTTTACCATTTTCAATTCTCTCCAAGGACTTTTCATATTTGTTTTTTATTGTCTATATAAAAAAGAATCCAGAGAAAACTTAATGCAGTTATTCTGCTGCTTACAAAAATCAGAAAAATCTGAAAAGTTTAATACAAGTAAGCATTCTTTTTTACATATATCAGCCAGTGTGCCATTTTATATATATACAGGGTATGATGGGTAAATTGTCACCATTTTATATTTTTAATTTTGCAGATAAGCATTGTTTTTTTTGTTTTGTTTTTTTTTTTATTTTATCAACTGCACAGTATAGCAGGGTCAGTTGGGCATTGGCTGTGAGAAAAAGAGCACCCTGATGCAATTCACTCCACTAGAATTTTGGAAATGGTATGCTGCACTAATTAGCATTCATGCCAAAAGCTCCAATACAAACATTTCAGAGTGTTTAGGTATCAATCTGAGGACAGTGCAGATGATTCAGAAAGAGTTGGATGAGTCTAATATTGATTAGGAAGGTGTCTGGAGTGATGGCGACATTATGTCTCCATTCATCATCCCACAGGGACTCAGACTCAACACAGAGGCCTACATCAAGTACCTTGAGGAAGTAGTGCTGCTCTGAGTCAAGAGGTTATTATGTGTGGGGTGCAGCTGAGCAAGAGACCTATGAAACTCCTTGTAACACCAAAGAATTTATCTAAACTCAGCGTAAAATTTGTCACAACTATGTCTAAAACAATAAAAGAATCAATGCAAAGCAAAATAATAAGCTAAAATTTGAAGGAGGAATTTACTTTATTACCAGTAATAATTGCCACAAAGAATATATTGGAGAAACCTCAATGAATTTAAACAAAAGATTATATGAACACAAGTGGCATATTTTGTAAAACAGCACATTAAATGCATTACTTGCTCATCGTAATGAAACTGACCCCAATTTTGATATAAAAAATGCTACTTTAATTAAAAGAGAAAACAATTCACTAAGACAAAAATGATTAGAAAGTGATTTAATCACTATGTCATCCACAGTAAATTTGCATCTTGGTTCTTAAAATGTTTCAACATTCTCGGCAGATCTTCTATTAACACAATGTAAGATATTTAATAAGAAAAGTAATGGAAAGAAAAAGAAAATGAATCTAAATGAAATCAGATTATATACCAAAAACACACTTAAAAAATCATCTTTATCTTTAAAATTCCCAGAATCTCTCATTTTTGTGCATCAGTAGCTGCATCAACATAAATATAATGTCTTAAAGAACAAAACACATCCCACAAAAACATTTTCCACTTATACACATTTCCCCACCACACACACACACACACACACACACATATATATATATATATAGTCATCCACAGACAGACTGTTTCACTGTATCACAGCTCTTCAGTGTGTCTAGGTGTCCGATTGAAACTCAACCGATTTGACATCAGTCAGAGCTCTTACTCCTAAGCTGTTGGCACACAACAGAAAGAAAGGGAAATTTTAGCGTTTTCTTTACAAAATGTGCCAGTGGCCAGGAGAACTCAATTTGTACTTGAAGAGTGATGCATTAATTGCAAGCACAGCCACTGTTTTTAAATTTACATTTTTTCTCCAGAGAGCTCTGTCAGGAGGCAGTCTTTGAGAGCATATATATAGTCATCCACAAACAGATTGTTTTCCTGTATCACAGCTCTTCAGATTGGCTAGATGTCCAATTGCTTCAAGCTGGGATCAAAGCTCAACCAATTTGGCATCAGTGAGAGATCCTATTTCTATATATATGTGTGTGTGTATATGTGTATTAAATGTCTGATTCAATAAATTACAAACATTATATCTGCTTATTTTTATCATAATCCTTTCATATTCACAAATATTTTTCCATATATTACGATTGAATAAGACAAAAAGATGCACTGTACCAGTGAGAATCACTTTTATTTCGTAAGTACTTTTTCTCTCTGTCTAAAATCATCATCAGTGGTGCAACTGGTATGTGTAGTAATGGATAGCTACACATAGCTACATTATGGTGGTTTGCAAAGTGACTGAAGCCAAGATGCCAGGTCAGGACCAATAACATTGCATGAATTTTATCAAGAATCTCTAAATATATAGCAGAATCACTAGACCAGATGTTACAGCAATATTCAAAGCATGGATGAATGGTAAACTTATAAATATGTTAGATAGATTCTGGCAAGAAAAAGTGTCTAGCATGGCACGGTGAACCAACCTTTCCTGGGGAACACGTGTATTAAAGCAAAGAGATATTGAAAAGTGGACATTCAAGACAATTTTCATCTCATCATAAAAGTATTGATATTACATAGCAGCTTAAAATTGTTTTGTTTTTTTCTTTTGTTTCTAACAAAATTTTCCTATTTCTTAATACTCCACTTAGTGTTTTTCCCTATTCCAATGAGCTTTGGGATTTCTGCATCATATTTTCTATTTTCTGTTATAAACTTTGCAGATAGTTAAATATCTGATTTTAATGTCTCCAATTATAACAATCTACCCCCATGTTAAAAATTCCAATCAAATATTGCCAGAAGAAGGCCAGAGCATATAACGGCCGAAACGTTGTGAATGTGACAGTAAAGATGAGGACAGGAGTTCAAACACTATAAATAGTGTAAAGTAATTTCTGTTACAGAATAACAATACCTCATCTCAGAAATATAGACAGATCCTGAAGAAGGCTGGAGTGTATGATGGCCGAAATGTTGTGAATGTGACAGTAAAGATAAGGACAACAGTTTGAACAAAGTAAATAGGTACAATTCCTCATCTCAGAAATATAGACAGATGTTGAAATTGTAAAACACTGATTTAGAAGGACATTTATTTTTTTATCTTTATGAAATGATATTACTGATAAGAATCCCTTATTATAAGCAATTACACAGCATTTATCATTTCTTTATGAAAATATCTCAACAGGTATCTTTTCTATTCCATTATATATTTTGCAGAATTCTCAGCAGAAGTCAAAGATCCCAACAAAAACAAGGATGTCCGTTCCAGAAAAGCATGTAAGTCTTTATAACAAAACAAATATTTAACTTTTTGCTGATTTTGTGGCAAAAATGGCAAAATCATAATTGCAGTGAGTTTAATTCCAGACCCAACCAGACTGATCAGATTTTGTTATAGAAAACATAGGATAGACAAAAACAGCAAAATCATAATTGCAGTGAATGTAATTCCAGACCCAACCAGACTGATCAGATTTTGGTGAGATGAACTGAGTGGGAGTTGTTTGAACCACATGGGCATAGAACCCTGACAATGATTGATTAAAAGTCATTGTCAGGATTCTATGCCCATCTAAGTTTCAATATAAAAGCAAAAACAACATAAAAATGAGCAGTACAGTTGCAGAAATAGAGAGGTCAAGAGCTCATCTGAGTCTTCCTCTCCCAGATTCTGATGCGTGCCTTTGGTTTTAGTAAGGAGACAAGCAATGCACATGAAGAGAATAGGGGTAAGTAGTTGGCCAACCTATTGACATCTGTTCTCTATCTATTATCCCCCCCCCACTCATGTTTCATGGCAAAAGAATCTTCTCATCTATAATTTAAGTTTCATTGATTGGTTCATTTTGTTTAGTGGTATATCAACATCTATGGGGTATTTAATGCCAAAATTTAAATATTTTGTATTCAATTTCATGGCTTCAACTACAGATAATTTGTACATAATGTTATACTTTCAGGATAAAGGTATGTTTGTCAGATATGCAGTTTGTAGATAAAAATGTACTGTTGTTTTTTGTTTGGAGGTTCAATATTTGTCCATAGCTAGGACCCTAACAGGTACTACCACCCCAGGTCAGGGTAGACCGGGGAACAACAGCAGTTAAGAGGTGGTTCCACACTCCAATCTCCTAATCAGAGGCCTTGGTATCAGATTTAGTTCATCATATCTGTCGATATTTCTGAGATGAGGCATTGTAATTATTTACACTATTTACATTGTTCAGACTGTTGTCCTCACCTTTGTTGCCATGTTCACAAAATTTCAGCCATTGTACTCCACTCACTTCATGGAACTAATCAAAGATGATCCAATCCAATCAGGTGGTAAGCCTGGATTTGGTGAGTTTCAGTGATTGATCCAGGTTCAGTACCTGGCTACAGCAGTGGTGAACAAATAACTTGGAGAGGTGAGTTAAAAGGAAATAACTGAGACATCCAGAAGAGGTATGACACGTGGAATTAGAACAATCTACCCCAGTTGACAAAATAATGGGTTTGGTTCAAAATTCCAACCACCTGAAGAAGGCTGAAGTATACAAAGGCCAAAACATTGTGAATATGGCAATGAAGATGAGGATAACAGTCCAAATAATATAAATAATGTAAATAATAATAATACCTCATCTCAGAGATATAGACAGATATTTCATTTTTTTTCTACCTACATTTATATAAGGTTATAAATTAAACTAAGCAAAACTGACTATTAAAAGATGAAAAAGTTTTGCAGATTTTGACATCATTCTGGGATCTTTTTAATCCAAATCCATGAATTTGTTTTGCTTATTATACTAAGTCTCAAGAAAACACTATGTAAAATTTGCTATTTTTTATCCATAATCTTGAATTTACTAAAACAATTCAACTTTTTAACAAGAAAAATCTCAAGTTGATGTTAAAAATTGCCACAAAACAGTGTTGATTTATTTAAGATGAAATAACATGTCTCTAATTTGTATTTAGATACATTGTATTTATTCTCAATTTTTCTAGTTGAACTGTTCCCCTATATTGCATATGATCCATTATTGTTCATAATTGGATTACAATAAAATTTGTATTTCATGTGAATACTACCTTATGAAAACTGAAATGTTGTATAGTGTGTAGGAGGTGGGGCACATATCATAGTTTCGGTAGGCATGAGACCCTGGTTATTATAGTGAAGTAAGAATAA